GGGTTTAATAAAGATTTTTCCTAGGTGGTCGGGAAGTGGTCTTTATATTAGTAAGATTAAAAATTATTTTAACGCGAAAAACAATAGACAAAAAATATTTTTATTAAAAAAAATCCGGTGAGTCACTTTTATCGAACAGCATTGTATATTATAAAGAAATTGAAACAGAGAAAACAAACCTAAACTATTTCCTAACAGATGACGAGAACACGGGAGATAACAGATACGTGGTCATGGTGACGAATTGAACTTTCGAGCAACGAGAAAGTTTTAAGGATAATGTAAACAAAAAGGGTCACATGTTTACAATCAGAAAGAGACAATGGAAATTTATGGAACAAATGATGAATTAATACTGGGAAAATTTATCACTCACAGGACATATCGAAGACATTTTTTTTAAGCATTTCACCCCAAGCAAGACGGGAAGCCACTAGGAAGCAAGGGGTTACAGAAAGTTTAGAGCAAGATCAGATAAGAGTGATAGAAGAAAGGATGAGGGTAGTGGATAGATCAAGGCGACTGGAGATGTCGATTGACATTACACTTGAATAGCTGGAGATTATAGCTCACGGGGAAACAGGAGAAGGGAAGGGAGTTCCACAGGCGAGAGGTGCGAGACATGAAGCTATTAGAGTAGAAGAGACGGCTATAATTAGGAGTTTCGACAGTGAAGGGGTGAGAGCGGGACGCCAGCCTCGTGAGGCGCTGGAACTCGTGACGTCTCGGAACCAGTGAATGCAGCTCCTCGGAGCAATTTCCATGGAAGTATTTGTAGAACAGACAGAGGAAAAAATTAGCATCTGTGAGAAAGTGACTGTAGACGAGACGCCAGAGCAGGGCCAACCACATTGCATATCCGCCTCTGGAGCCTATCAAGAACCCCGAGGCAGACAGAAGGGGCACCAGACCATATATGACAGCAATACTCCATGCAAGGGCGAATTGTGGATTTGTAGATCTGGAGGATCGACTCCGGGGAGAAAAAACTTCCTAGCGCGGCTCAGGGAGACAACTCTCCTTGCAGTGAACGAGGCAATTGACTCAATGTATTTATTCCATCTCAGGTCAGCAGTCAACGTGAGACCGAGAAGCCGCAGAGAGTTGCTCTCGAGAAGTTGAGCGTCAGACATTCTAACGGAGGGAAGGGAAGGATCTCTGTGGCGATTAATGGAGAGCAGTTTTGTCTTCGAAGCGTTGAAGTTGACCAGCCAATTCATGCCCCAGTTCACAATCGATTGGAGAGGACAAACTGCCTACATGATGAGACTATGTGATTGGGCGGCAGAATGAGGTGGGAGTGTAATGGTAAACGCACAAGCATTTATAATAGCTACAAACGATAGGTAATTGTTAAGAACCATGGTCCTCAATGTTCAAACGAGATATAAAAAGCATTTGATCTACTTTTTGATATTACATTTAGCTATTTCATTATGATTCAGAATTTATTTATAGCATTCTTCATTTAGTGCTATATCACTGTGCATATCTATCCAATACCGCACTTTTCTTTATATTGGCATTGTCAGTGTTTAATACACATCTGTAGATAATGTAACACTGGTTGCGTAATATAAAGGATAATTATTAAGGGATAAAGATTAAAACGACAATAATATACCTTTACTAAGATACAACAGCAGACATAAATAGGCAAACAGACTGTTAAAATAAATATTGCATTTATGAAATAAAATACATATGATAGGTTCACGGCCCGTGGAAAAGATGAAAATAAGCCGCCTGAGGCGATGTGTTTTCATTGGCCCAATTGACGAATCAGTAACTAGGAGAACACAAGATTTCCCGATAAAAAAAGAAGTAACTTATTGCCAAATTATTCAGTGAGAGTTCTTCGCTTGGTGGCGAGCACATGATTTTGCAAAATGCTAGGATTTTTAAGGTCTCACAAAATCTTCACTCTTACGTCACTTACAATTAATCAATAAGGTACCCAACTAGAGACAATAAAGTATCCAAAGCAGACTATAGATGTTAAGCTTCCTCGGCGTGGTGTAATGGTTAGCAAGCTTGTCTTGCTAGATCAGTTACGACCGAAAATTGAGTTCGATCCTCACTAGGTGCCGCATACTTTCGGCCTTGTGCCACATCTAAGCTACGCTTAGAAAATAACTATATGCGTTAAGCTATTTATTAAGAGACGTTGGATTTGAGTTTTCTATGAAACAGAGACAATATTACTTTGATGCATTAGCTTGAAGGCAACAGTGGATACTAAAATGGCGATATAAACAACATGACCCAACTGAAAAAAACATACTTAGAAACATCGTGACGGTAATGTAACCTTATAAATCATCCACCCGGAAACCCACAGATGCGTGATTGACTAATCTCAAGAAATGTAATTTTGCCGACGCTAAGTTTATTATCCCTCTCCAATAATGAGTGCATATTTGATAATTATTAACATGCCAAAACCCGAAGTTATTAAAAGAAGCAAATTTGTCTGGGGAATAGATTAAGAGAAATTGTCACTTCACAGTGTCATTCTTAACGGAAGTCTTTTTCTCACATGTCCGACTCATTTAGCTTAGAAAGAATCTCTAAAAATGGAATTTAGTTCACGTCTCTGTTGAAATCTGAAATTCACTAATATTATCCCCAACGGAGAAAAGCCATTAAACAATTGTCAGGAAGTAGAAGAAATTTTTCAAAGAAACACTTCTAAGCATAAGAACCACGAACAGTAATAAAAAAAAATAACAAAAAGAACAACCTGTATCAAAAAGCAAACTTCTATAGAAAGGTGAAACTGCAAGTCGAAATATATGTCAATACATTCTAGTGAGGCCATACACTAACGATAGTCTTCTTTTGAAAATTTCTCCCTTTCTTTGTGTTCATAATGTGTTCATCTGTACAAAACTCTTAGTGAATAAGACGTCGAAATCACTGATAAATTCGAACAGAAATAAGTAATCTAAAACTCAGCGTGCTAGTTCGTATATTTAAATCTACTGTCTATGTATCGTATAAGAACTTTTTTAAAAAAAATTCCTAGTAACTATTCGGTTCAGAATTTTCAATTCAGTTGGTATTTCATTTTACTTTTTCCGATTGATGACATTCGAATATATTTTAGAGAATACAGAAGAAAAAAAGAAATTTGGCGAGCGATTAATATATTTTTACTTAACAATTCTTTTTGATTTCAAAATGAAACCTATTTGGATTGTGCGAAATATTTCATTTTTCGAAGTAAATAATGCAGTAAAAAATATTTGGAGAAAAAAAAATCTACATACATCAACTATGATTTAAACGATAACAGGTTGAGGAGATGGATTTATATTTATTTCAAGGTTATTTGCACATTAGTGAATGTTACGAAAACGAATAGGATTCGACATCATCTCTCTGTTTCCGTTTCGCACACGAATATATATTGATACAAACGCATATTAACAAATATCATTATGTGTCACACTATAATTTTATTAACTAAGAATATATAATTTTTATACATTATCGTTGGATTTTCTGATATATATATATATATATATATATATATATATATATATATATATATATATATATAGTGTCATACAGATACAGACTGTTTCGCTGTATCACAGCTCATCAGTGTAGCCTAGACGTCCGCTTGCCTCTAGCTAAGCTCGAAACCCGACTGAATTCGGGGGTACTACCACTAAGCCGTTAGCGCACGGCTGGGACGAAGGGGAATTTAAGCGTATTTATTTTTAGATAAACACACAAGATATCTCCATTAGGTTTACCGAAGAGTCTTGCATTATTAGCGTAATAGTCATTGTTTACAAACCCACACTTCCTCCCTAGTGAGCTCAACTGATATAAATTTTTCAGTAGCATATATCTTGTTATCCACAGACAGATTGTTTCGCTGTATGTACTTTATGTTCTTATATAGTTTCTCATGTGATCGTATAAGTTTTACTTTTCAGTAAATAAATTATATTTATATTAATTTTTTTGTCATGAATAATTAGTCTAAAATCTTTAAATCTATAGTTAAAAATAATTAGAATAAAACTAAATAGAACAAATATTATTTACGAATTCAAATGTCCATTACAGAATTGTATCCCTAATCAATCAAAATTCGTAAACAATTATAATATAGGCAAAACACTACAACATATTTGAAAAGAAGTCTCCCACTACATTTTTTCTGACCATAACTCAATTAGGTTTCATTTAAATACGCATTCTACTGGATATTATTTGTAACATATTTTTGATAACACAAATATGATAGCATCCTCTGCATGTAAGAAAAGGATAGAAATAATGGAAAATTTTATTAATTAAAAAAAACAAAAAAAAAAACAATACGCAATAATATCGACTATGAATATGTACACAGTATCTTGACCGTGTTTTGAAAATGAGACATTATATAAATACGTACATACAGCAACCTATTTCGAGTTAATATGTTTCAACATTGAAAATGGCTAAATATATTGCCGAAAGTGCTCGTAAAACAACATTTGGACATTTTATATAATTTATCTAATGAAAAGAAAAAAATATGAGATCACATGAGAAATTACATAAAAACATAATCAAAGCACCTTGTCTGTCATATTTAAATGTAATAAAACTTACAGGAAAACACACACACACACACACATATATATATATATATATATATATATATATATATATATATATATATATATATATAATTCAATTCAAAACCAAAAAGAAAAATTGATCATAAACAGAAAACTTTTTGATGCAAAGAAAAACTGCTCAATGCAATTTCAAATAAGGGAAATGCAGTTACACTTACGTTTAAAGACAAAACTGTGTAGAGAAACTAAGCTTATATGAACGTTGTATGAATATACCTATTTTTATTTGTGTTTCTCTCTCTCTCTCTCCCCTCTCCGTATATATGTAGGAGTGTGGGCACTCGGGCAGAAAATGTATTTAAGGTACACTCAATATAGTTGCAATATAAACCACAGGTGGAATCTGTCAGCTAGTGTCTGCGACCAGAATTGGCCGAGAGGATCTATCTATCTATCTATCTATCTATCTATCTATCTATCTATCTATCTATACATGCACACACACAGACATGTGCATGTGTGTGTGTGTATTTGTATATGTGTCTGTGCTTGAATGTTTGTTATTAATTGATCAATGCTATGAAAATGTTAATATGGTCATATATTGAGCATAACTATCCAAAACTTCCTGATAATTTAAAATGAAGTGTATGACAACGTTTATATATCTATTTTTTAGAATACAGCGAAATTAATGTCAATGCAAAGTAACACACTTTGAAAATGAAGCCAACAGTTAGATCAAACTTTATTTTCATATTTACTGCATTGTTCACGATATTATTTCTCCTGAAATCTCTCTTATCTCTAAAAGTTTTCTTTGTTTCCCTCTCACACACGCATTTCCATTCCTTCTCTTATGCCCAGTCTCTCAACGACAGTTTATTGTTTTATTTATATGACTACAAGGAAGGCATTCATTTTGTTCATTTCTTTTTATGGAATATTTGA